TATATATAATTTTCTTTAAATATTATATATAATAAATGTATATTTTATAATTCCTCTTAATTTTATACTATAAAATGAAATAACGACATATTTAAAAATTAATATCTTTGTATTTGTACAGTATGTATTCAAATAGGAATTACATTAGTAACTTTGTACAATTTGTAAATACAAATAAATATTAGACAAAAACATACATTTGCGACTTCGAGAAGTTTTTTTCAAAGAAACTACACGGTTTGGCACGTTATTTGCTTGTCTTGATATATCATTAAATGTTAAATTTTCATGATTCATTATCAAGTGCTCTTTGCTCTAATAAAATGATTTGATATTAATGAAACGTTGACATTTGATTATATATCAAGATCCAGAATTATTTCACAAACTACGTAGTTTCATTAAATATACATTATTGTATGTTTTACATTTAATTGTAAAAATAGTACTGCAAATATAAACATACGTTACAAAATAATGCTTAAAATGTGTACTATATAAAATAAATTTGATATTTTTAGGTAGATCGTTGGTTTAATTTTGATTTATAAGTTTTGTACACACACACACACACACACACACACCACACCACACCACACCACACACACACACGCGCGCACACACATATGTCTGCACACACACATATGATCTTACGATCTTACAAATCTTATATCGAAAAGTGGAAATAATGTCCACATCATTGAAATAATATTAATAATCAATTTCATATTGTTAATGCTGCTAAACATCTAATAAAATTTTTATTTATCAAGAAATTTAATATATAATATCCAGATAACGACAAATTCACTAAAATAATTAATGTTAAATTTACAATAATGTACTTAAGCTATTAATATAAATGTACATTTTTCAGAAATTTAATAAAATATTTTTCTTTTCTCGTTTATTGAATAGACAAGCATTTGAGAATATCTACCGTATGCTTCGACCCAATGGAGTTATGCTTGTACTCTTTGCAGCATCTCATAATGTATTTAATGTTCTTGAAAACATGATATATGATGTTCGTTTTGCACCATACATAAAAGTAAATATTGTTATTTAGTACTTAAATTATTATTTTATTACGTTTAAAAACATATTATTAATTTTTTTAGACTCTTTCACGGGTATTTTCTTCAAAAATACCAGAAGGTTTGCGGGTTATCGCTGTATTTTTATTCATTATCAATATTTCATAATCTTGCTGTTTACTTCATCGAAACGACAAATATACTAATATTATCTTGTATCATTGATGAAGTAAACAACAAGATAGCAAAATATTGACATTAGCAATAAACAAAAACATGACGTATTATTAATTATTTTTTATTGTTTACCATTATTTATAAAATATTTTATTTATACAGGATGTTAAAAAGTATACTTGGCCACTTCGAAATTCAATCAATCCCCGCAAACAATTAAAAGAATTGCTTCAAACACTCGGATTCACGGTTGTTCATTGCAGCCATCGGGATATATTTCATCATGATACAAATACGGATGGATTTATTTGTAAATTTTTTTAAAGAGATATATAAAAGTTAATTTTTTTATAATTAAGTATATATAATTATTAATTGTACCTACTGTACATCTTAAACTTTTATTAATTCATTTATATATATATATATATATATATATTTAGTTCTATTTAATTAATTAATTAAATTTAATTCTAACATTAAATTAATTTATGTCATTGAATTAATTAATTGTTATTATTTTCACAGCTTCTATTATGGCATTCCTCGACTTCATTGATGACATGCCATGTGATCGCAAGAAAGAATTCAAAAAAGAATTTATGCGCAAATTTGCAGAAACACAGATTATCTATAAACAAAAAAATAATCAGACAATAGCATTAGACACATATCGTATACTAATAGCTTTTGCGCAAAAACATGTGACATAATTG